AACTCTATTTGTGCGTACCGACGCGATCATTATCTTTTGCTGTTCTTCATATGCCTTTTTCATCTCCTCCATCTGTTCAGCCGATGCATTTTTTGAGCCTTCCTTCAACTGGTTTTCTATGTCCTGATGATTGAGTTTAGGCATCGTAAAAATTATGCAAATACGCACACACACACACATATATATATATATATATATATATATATATATATATATTGAAATTATTAGCAGCATGTACTCACCTTCATTTTGATAAATAGTGGATCAGTGTAGGGTATTCCACCATTGTTTTTCACAACATCATTTACTAGAGAAAGAAATTGATTCCGTTGTTTAGATTTCTCGGCTTCTATTTTTGTTCTGTTGTTGAAGAGTATTTGTCGGTTCCCACATTGTGTCAGGGTATCCTGTATGTCAATAAATCATATGTTCACACATAAATGTAACAAATAAAAGATTTAAACATACGTCCCTATTTTTGCCCCATGCATGGGGAAACTGTAGCTCACGAAAACCAAACACCTAGGTAGCTAAACGATCAGAGTATTTGCTTCAAATTAAATTCTCAAAATAGCCCGGAAGAAAATGAATAATATATATGGTCAGATAAATAAATAAATAAATGTTAAGAGACACATATATATATAATTAAGAGGAAGAGAAGAATTAATGAGATATTTAATTCGTGCCTGCAAGGGTTTGGGGCAATCTGTACCGCCCAAGTAATCATCTAGGGTTTGATCATCAGCTTCTAGTTCATCACCACCAGTGAAAATTACAATCAGATATCCAAGAATTTTGGGGCCGAAAAAAGAACTGAGTGCTTGCACAGCAGCTTCTTCTTCTTTTGAAAATCGACCCCGGATTGACAGGACGAGAACAATAGCATGGAGACCATCATTTGCCAAATTGATGCATTTGGCAATTTCATTTCCAAGAAACTCAGTATTACCATGAAAATCAAATAACCCTAGCATTTCAATCAAGTTCATCAAGTCAGAACACATGCATTAATCCTCCTTTTATCTCATTTAACAGATTAACTTTTGATTAGGATGGTTATTACACTGGGAAATAAATAAATACGCATGCATGAATATAGAGAGAGTTAAACATAAATTAGTAATAATTAACATGTATACCGGGAGTATCAATCACATTAATAATACTGCCATCCTCTAGTGGAGTTGACTGCTGCTCAGTCTTGGTAGTAACACCGCCGGCACAAAACTTTGACTCGAATGCTTTTCTTCCAAGTATAGAATTGCAGGTTGCACTTTTCCCGTGACCTGTTCGTCCAACCAAAACTACTGTTTTTGGCTTCCCTTCCATATTACCTGAACTCAAGTTATCTGCAGAAGACGACGCTGACAAGATCGTGCATACGCACGTTAACTTAAG